ACTGATTTTCTGATTTGGAGACTCAATAATGGGAGAAGGTAGATTGTTGGGCACTAAATTTGGCTGTTGGTTTTAACATAATGAAGATGTCAAATTTCTCTATGGTATTGTTTTCTATTATAAATTTTTAAATGCCATTTTTCAATGTACATTGTCCTATTTTATATAGTGCTGGAATGTTCAACATCATTATTATTATTTAAAGCTCAGGAGGATGCTGTTGGTACTTGTGCAGAATAACGTACCCATTAGCAAATAAAAGCCTAAAGTGGACAGAGGACAACTATATTTTTAAAATGACAGAGGACAACAGTACTCCATAGTGATTGTCCATACATAATCTACAACTGTAAGGAATACCCTTACAAATGTATTTTTTTTCAATTTGGTGGGTGATCCTGTAAATCAGGGATTTGTAAATGTTTGCCGAGCAAGAGGTGCATTCAACACTTTTTCAAGGATTGAAGGTGGCACAAGTTGGTCATCGGCCTTCAGCAGCAACATCAGCATTATGACTATTTAAGGGATGATGATGATGATGATGATGATGATGTTGATTTAGTAAGGCTAAGTCGAGTTGTTCTTAAGCCTTCTTTCAGACTACAATTTAGTTGTATTTCCTACCACAGAATAATGAGAATTGTGCTGCCATGTTTATTCACATCCCAGTTAAAGACATGAACATGAAACAGGGAATGAGGGTAGCACACAAATGCTGATAATCCATTCAATATCCGTTGATCCATACTGTGAGAAATGCTTGCTTTCTGATATGCTTACACTACTTTAACCCTTCTTATTCTGCAAAGACAATATGTAAAATTTGTGGATATTTTTTATTTATTTATTATTTATTATTACATTTGTATGTCACCCATCTCCCCCCAATGGGTGACTCTGGGCAGCTCACAGTTAAAGTCAAAAACCCCATTAAGAATTAAAATACCCCATAAATAATAAAATAAGTTAATTACTTAAAAATCAGGTATAGAAAACAAACCCTGTACATAATACTAAAAACATTCAAGATGATGGGGGAGGCAAGGTCAATCAATCCACAAGCCACCTCCACTAGTGCGAGCCCCCATCCAGCCCCCAGGCCTTCTGGCACAGCCAGGATTTCACCTCCTTCCTGAAGGCCATGAGAGTGGTGGCACACCAGACCTCGGGAGGCAGGCTGTTCCAGAGGGCGGGGGCCACAGCAGAAAAGGCCCTCTGCCTAGAGCCCACTAGTCAAAATTCCTTGGCTGGTGGGGTCTGGAATGTGCCCCTTCCGCTGGACCAAGTGGGGCAGGCTGAAATAACCAGGGCAAGACGGCTCTTCAGATAACATGGTCTTGTGCCATGAAGGGCTTTAAAGGTGATGACCAACAACTTAAATTGGACCCGGAATCAAACTGGCAACCAATGCAGCTCATGTAACAGCGGTGTTATATGTGCCCTCCTAGGGGCATTCAGAACTGTCCATGCCACCGCATTCTGAACCAGCTGTAGCTTCTGGATACTCTTCAAGGGTAGCCCCATGTAGAGTGCATTATAGTAATCCAACCAGGAGGTGACCAGGGCATGACTGACTGTGCGGAGGGCCTCCTGATCACAGAAGGGGTGTAACTGCCACACAACATGAAGTTGCAAAAAGGCCCACCTAGGCACAACTGCCATCTTCAAACAGGAGTCATGAGTCCAGGAGGACCCCCAGATTATACACCGAGTCTGTCTGGGGTACTGCAACCCCATCAAGAACCAAAGTTGATAAACTCCTAGATCTTGAGGCTCCTCACACCCCCAGCCACTCTGACTTCCCAGGGTTCAGTTGAAGCCTGTTGTCCCCTTTCTAGGGCCCCACACCCTCCAGGCATTGCGAGAGGGTAGTCAGAGCATCATTTAGATCACCCGGGATAGAAATGTATAATTGGGTATCATCAGCATATTGATGATATCTCACCCCATGGTCCAGGATGATCTCACCCAATGGTTTCATGTAGATGTTAAATAGGAGCGGCGAAAGCACCGAACTCTGAGGCATTCCACAGAGTAGGGGTAATTCCCTAATGGAATTAAAAAGGTGTAACAAGCAACCCTAACCCTAACCCTAACCCTAAATGACTTCGCACCTTCTTTGTAACATAAAATAACAAATTCTTTTTCTAACCTCCCTTCTTAGTATTACAAAAATCCCTTCAGCCCCTCATTTAATTCTTTTTAAGTCTTCAAATCCATAAATCATCACT